TAAAACCCCCTTATAAACCGAACCAAACCCGCCTCTTCCAACGAAATTTTCCGACGAAAAATTGTCGGTAACCTTCAAAAGGTCCTTAAAATCAAACCAAATCAACCCGCTTTTCGGTCTAACTCGTAAACTAAAACTCGGTTCCATCGAACCACCATTATGTGATAACAAATTATCATTCTTTTTCCTCTTCATCAACCAAGTATACCAAAAATACAACAACCCTAACAGAAAAGACAGAAACACAAAAGAAGCTGAAACCAACCCAATAACAAGAGCATAATGATGTTCCTTTTTATCATCCCCTTTCAAATCAACCAACAAAATAAGAATACAAGCCAAAACACCATTACTCTGAGGACCAAACCTATTCACAATTCCAGCAATATAAAGTATTGTAAAGTAAAAACAATCTTGAGAATGTGAACTATTACCATCCATTCGAGTCAGCATCTGATGAACCAAATCCCCTTGGTAACGACAAGCCTCACAGTGATCATGATCTGTTAGGTCTGGTTTACAAACATTATCAAGAAGTGCTAAATTTGTTGAATCAACTTTGTTAAGCCAATCTTGTTCAGATTGAATATGAACACATGTGTTGGGAGTAGAAACAAACTGAGATGGATCAAAACATGAAGAAACAAGGTTGTTAGGAAGTGAGATTGAAGTGAGGCTAGATTGGTAATCTTGTAAGCAAGATTCTGAGGTTGAGGTGTTGGAGAAATGGAAAAGTGAGTTTTTGTTGAGATTCTCAGCAAGTGCTATGCCAAAGAGGGACAAGAGAGTGTGACAACAAAGAGATTGTTGTGTTTCTGCTTTGGTTTGTGAGGGTTTGAAGTTGAGACATTGTGAAGAATTCCAAGGAACTGTTTGGACAAATTTCATGGACACTGGACATGTTGTTGTTGTTTGGTTTGATGAATCTATGAGTGTGATGAGAAAGAGTGAGAGAAGAACCAAACAAGAATTCATAGATTTGTGAAATCTTAAAAAGCTGTTTTGTTTCTACTTTTGCATGTGGTTGATATGTGAAGTTCTATGGAGTAATATTTGAGAAGCCAAAAGAGAGAGAAAAAAAACATGAAAATTCTCTTGTGACAAATTTGTTTGGTGAAGGTTTATATTCAGCATTTAATATTTGAGTAAAAGCACCTACTTTATGTACATTTATGACAAAGAATTAATTGTTTATTATTTTGGTAAAAAGAATGCATTATTTATTCGACTAAAGTAAAAAAAAACAAAGTCATATTTATAAAGTCTAGAAACACCTGCTACAATTTGAGTTTGAAGTTTGAACTACTATGATATTATGCTACTAGATATATTTTAAAGTGTGCTAAAAGCAAGGTTTGGTGTTTATTGTAATAAAAGACTGCTGTGTTAAATTTCTAGGAGGTTCTTCTTTTTTAGGGTTGACTGATTCTTATAGTTGAATAAGAATTTTTTTTTTTTAAAAGGTATTTGGAATTTGTTTTCGTGATAACATTATAATTGAAAATTTAAATTTTATAAGATATTCTTGAGTGGAATCGATTGAGAATGAGAGTTGAAAATGTTAAAAGAAAATAAAATGTGGAAAAGTATCGGATTAATTAAAAGATTGAGATTTGAGTATTTATAAATCGGAGAACTCACACATTTATCATTTTAAAGTTTTAGTTAAATATAGGATGTGTTTTCGCGTTTAAGAAGATTTTAATAAAAACTTAGAGCATCCCCGTTTTGATTCTTTAGATGAGGTCCACGTAATTTTTTATATTATATTCCACTTTAATATTTTTTAAACAATTCAACTATATTTTTTAAATATTCATACAACCCATAAAAATTTTTAAAATGGGTCCCACCAAATACCTTACATTTAATTATCTATAATTTTTAATTCAACTTTAATGGTTAAGAAATAATGAGAAAGTTCTCTTGCATAACAACGTTGGCAAATTAAAGGACAGTTAAAATTTTCAAACATCCATCAATTTCTCACAAAAAGGCTTTGGTTTTCGTGAAGAAACGATGACATGACATTGATATTTATGCTTTTAGATAAGTTTAAGAGGGTTTCAATAAAAACTTAGATAAGTAAGAGCATCCACACTCATTATTTCTACTTTGATTCTTTAAATGGGGTTCACGTAATTTTTTATATTATATTCTACTTTAATATTTTCTAAACAACCCCACTATATTTTTTAAATATTCATACAACCCATAAAAACTCTAAAATAGATCCCACCAAATACCTTATATTTAATTATATATAATTTTTAATTCAACTTTAATGGTTAAGAAGTAATGAAAAACGTTCTCTTAAAGAACAACGTTGGCAAATTAAAGGACAGTTAAAATTTTCAAACATCCATCAATTTCTCACAAAAAGGCTTTGGTTTTCGTGAAGGAACGATGACATGGCATTGATATTTATGCTCTAAGGTAGTTTTGCATATAAGTATAATTGTGTGTCAAGTATGCATTCTTACTCGTATGATGCATATGTAAACTCATTTTCACCATCTTTTAGGTTGTTGTGTTTTTAACAATTAAAATCTTTAAAAGAATTTTTTTTTGGCCTAAAGCTCATTTCCTTATAACATTGGTCCATTATACAAGAAGATAATATCCAATGTGTGGTTGAGCTTTATAAACACTCATGTTACTTAAAAACAAAACAATGTTGGAGTTTATTGACAATCTAAGAAATGGAGCATTTTCAACCCAAAAAATTGCAAGATCTACATCTTGTAGAGTCGTTCCAAGAAGTATGATGGCGTAGATCCCAACAACTTTTAAATATTCATTAATTCTAAGAACTACTTCCACACTCTACATTTTCTTATGCAATGACAATATCATATTGCTCGTAAGAGTCTATCCATTAAGAAATTCTCGAACACCCAAAGTACAACCTTATGTTATTTTAAAGATGTTAGTGCACGTGTGCACTTGGTTGAGAAAGAGAAAGAGATTGTAAGAGTGAAGAGAGATAGAGTAAAAGTGAAAATGTATTATTGATTGCTTGCATGTCAAGTAAGACCTTGCATGTAGATATACTAGTATGTATGGTTGTTTGTGATACAAATAACAAGTGTAAGTATTTACACATCCAATTATATTACAACATACCTTTTTATAATCCAATTATACTAATAACACACTTAACAATTAATTTGTACAACACTTAACTTCTTCCTTAAGGTTGAGAATCTTTCAATTTTTGATTCACTTCAGCAATGTTTCACTTCAAGTTGACATTGGTTTACCTTCTCCCTCAAGAAATGAAGCGTTGTTTCGATGTGTTTACATCTGCCATATAAAATTGGATTTCTTGCAAGATTAATGGCTGATTTGTTGTTAATCTGCAACACCATACCATTTTTAGTCCTTTGTAACACCATGCCTAGAAAATAGAATAAGCTACCCAAGTCTGACATTTCAAATTCCATCTTCATTAATTCCTTGAATTTCATCAATTTTTTAGTATTGTTGTCAGTCACAAGCAAGTCATCAACATATAGGTATATGATGGTTATGTCTTGTGTCATGGTATGCACATGGATACCATACTCTGACGTGCACTTGATGAATCCTAATTCTAGTAGGTATGAGTCAATTTTTATGTTGCATACCCTAGGTGTCTGCTTAAGGTCATAGAGGGCTCTGTGCAGCTTTTAGAGTTTCCTTTCTTCTCCCTATATCACAAAACTAGGTGGTTAAGTGACATACACCAATTCATCCAAAGGTCCATTCAAAAAGGTTGATTTTACATCTAAGTGAAGAGATTATCAGTCTTGTTTGCATGCCAAGGTAACCATTAGTTTGATAGTTTCCAGCCTTGCAACTGAGCATAAACTTCATAGCGATCAAGTCCTGCTCCTTGGATGAACCCTCTTGCTACTAACCTTGTCTTATGTATTGCAATTGAACCATCATGGTTGTACTTCATTTTGAACACCCAATTTACTTCTATGGCTTTTGTGTTTGCTGATAAATTGATAAGTTGTCATGCATTGTTTCTTTCTATGGATTGTAGCTCTTATATCACGACTTATTCGCATTGTTTAGTCTTCAAATCCTCACTGTAGTTAATAGGCTCAACTCTTGCAAGTAGAGTAATTCTTCTTCTTTGAGGCCTTTGTGACGTGTTTACTACATCTTGTTGAAATAATTCATTTACATGATCATGATCTTCTACTTATAAAAATGGAGTTTCATTAAGTTGAGGGTCTTCAACTGGAGCCTCATTTTTCTCACTACTTTCTTCAGCAAGTTATTGCTAATTATAGACTTGTTAGTTATATCATTGGACTTTCAATTCCATGTAGAGTTTGTATCAATCACAATGTCTTTACTCACCATAATCTTTCCATTTATTGGATTGAATAAAATGTAGGCTTTCAATCTTGTGGTAACCTGCCAGAATTATAGGTTCAGTCTTGTCATCTAATTTTTTTCTTCTAACATCATGGACATGTCTGTAGCAGATAAAACCAAGCACTTTTAGATGAATCACAAATGGAATATTCTATAGTCAATAAAGACTATTTTATATACAAATATTCTTAACAATCCTCCCTTTAAACTGAATCATATATGTCATATAAGTCGAGTTTGTTACAAATGTAATCCAAATATATATATATATATATATATATATATATATATATATATATATATATATATATATATATATATATATATATATATATATATATATATATATATATATATATATATATATATATATATATATATATATATATATATATATATATATATATATATATATATATATATATATATATATATATATATATATATATATATATATATATATATATATATATATATAATACTTTTCAAATATATAACACAAGTATTTATGAAACTTAATCACATATTATCTATTATCTTCTTGCATACCAGACCAATGTTGTGAGAAAATGGGGTATAGGCTCAGAAATTTTATTTTAAAAGTCTTAATTAATTTCAAAAGAAAATTAATTAAGGTTATGATCACCATTGATAAACATATGGTTCTCAAAAGTCATGGGTCTATCTGGAATTGAAGGAACCTCAATGTCCCCTTCTAACATCTTCAAAGCATCCAAAATTGTTGGCCTTGAATCACCTATTACATGACAACACAAAATTCCAACCACCAAAAACCTCTCCATTATATTTCCACCATTGGATTCTCCATCATTCACCAAAATAGAGCCATCCAAAGCTTCTGCTAAATTTCCAGATTTCATCAACGACCAAACCCAATCCGTGATCAAGAAACTAGGTGTTCCTGATGAAGACACCTCAAGAGCTTTTCTTCCACACATAATCTCCAAAACAACCACACCAAAGCTGTAAACATCACTCTTCTCACTTAACTGACCATAAAGTGCATATTCTGGTGCAAGATATCCATAAGTTCCAGCTACTCTAGTGTTTAACTGAGACCTACTTTCACTGCTTTCTTTCGCCAGTCCGAAATCTGCAACCCTTGCTCGCATTTCTGCATCAAGTAGTATATTTGTTGCTTTGATATCTCTATGATATATAGCAGGTTTGACTCCAAAGTGCAAATAAACCAACCCAGTTGCCACATCTAAGATTATGTGTTTTCTTTGCGGCCAAGTTAACGATTTCTTTTCCTTTTCGTTGTCCATGGATGGAAAGAGATGATCTTCAAGGTTACCATTTGGCATATAATCATAAACAAGATACCTATTTCTGTGTTCTTGATTATGATCCTCATCAACCACACAACAGCCTCTAAGCGGCACTAGATTGCGGTGCTTCAACTTGCTAATAATTTCTACTTCAGTGTAGAATTCATTGTCCCCTTGAAAATCAGATTCTTCGATCCTTTTAACAGCGACGGTTGTGCCGTCTGATAGAATCCCCTTGTAAACCATCCCAAATCCACCTCTACCAATGAAGTTTTGGAGTGAAAAATTGTCGGTGGCCTTCACAAGTTCATCAAATTTGAACCAAATTGACCCTGTGTTTGGTCTAAATCTTTGGATGGACCTTTGTTCCCTTGGATCAGAATGACTTAAAAAATTCTCAGTACTTTTTCTCTTTATCCAACCAGTGTACCAAAAATAGAAAGCAAGCAAAGAAAACATGATAGCCATGAATGCAACTGAAGCTCCGATTAAACCAAAAACAAGTGCATGATGGCTCTTTTTTCTGGAAACCACTTGAGAGTTAAGAGGAAGTTCGAGAATACAAGACATAACACCGCTGTTTTCAGGGCCAAACTGATTCACAACTCCAGCAATGTAAAGTATGGTGAAGTAAAAGCAGTCCTTGGAATGTGAACTGTTGCCGTCAATTTGATTCAGCTTCTCTTGAACCTTGAGGCCTTGATCAACACATGCATCACAATTGGTAGAAACAGTAAGGTCTTGTTTACAAGAAGTGTTGAACAATGATCCAGGACCGAAACTGCTGAACCAATCTTGCTTCGATTGTATACGAGCACAGATGTCGGGAGTGATGACAAATTGAAGTGGATCAAAGCATGAAGAGACAAGGTCGTCGTGAAGTGAAAGGGAAGTGAGCTTAGTTTGGAAGTCTTGAAGGCATGAGGTGGAGGTAGAGAGATTTGGGAGTTGGAAAAGAGAATTTTTGTTGAGGTTTTGAGCTAGTGCTATACCAAAAAGTGACAACAAAGTTTGACAACATAGACTTGTTTGTGGTTTGTTTTGGGTAAGACAGGTAGATGTGTTCCAAGGAACTGTTAACACATAGTTCATGTCAACTGGACAGAGAGAATTGTTGGTAGAGGGAGAGGCTGCTACTGAGATTGAATTTGTAGACACGACAAAGATCATGAAAAGCACAAGAATGGACTCCATATGTATGACACTCTATGAAGTCTTAAGGTTGTGTTTTTTGGGTCTATTTATGCATGCGGGGTTAGAATTGGTTTTGGAGTATAGTTGACTTTATTCATTGATTTATTCTAAAAACAACAGAACCGGTCATGTTCACGCGGCAATTCCATATGAGAAAATGAGATTTACCAATAAATTGAGTCTATGTCAACTCAACAAACCCATTAAAAGAGTAAATGCACATTTCAGAAAAAGTGGACTGCTAAAATGAAAAACTAGTTTGTTTTCTTCTTTTCTAATTTAATTTTTTACTGATAAATGTGTGTGTTGATCAATTATAATCGGTAAACAATTAAAATTGGAAACAAATAATATATATTAAGTCAATATTTTAGTCTCCAAAATTGTTTGTGAACATACTTTGGTTTACAAGAAAATGCTTGAAAGAGTTAACAGATCTAATTTGACTATATTGAAAATAAATTTTAAAGTAGGTTAATTTTTAGTATTCAATTTTTTTTTTACTAATTTTAATGTACCATTTATAATTTGAGAGCCAACTGGTGTTAATGAATAATTTAGATGCAACCTATCGCCTAGTCAGTATAGATCCATTTTGGAATATTAATAAAATATAAATATGTAATTAGTTATGTAATATGGTTAAAGAATATATTCAGATATAGCAAACTCGTTTACGAAACGCAAATATCTGTGATTTTAAATTGTGTTTATATTTAAATATACACAAAATTATTGTTTATAACCTTCAAAATCATAGATAAAGAAGACCAAAGTAGGGTTGTATTCAGAAGCACAAATTTACCACCAACATGATAAAGAAGAAATTCAATTGTTATGCATGGACTTGTTCACCACCACACTTGAGCATAATAAAGATATGGTCTACATTTCATGCCTAAGGAAGGAATCATGAAGTTGAACTACCAGACAGTGGGCGCTGTCGAGAGAGAAAAGGTACTTCTACTACTGTTCCAGTGATGTTGTCTCCAACAGTTACACTGTCTCCTTCTGAAGCAGCTTGTTTCTTTATGTAGCCTAATCCAAAGTGTTCAGATTGCTTCCTTCCCGACGTGTAACTAGTCAATTTCCCTACCTGCACAGTTTGCAGAAAACCATTAATTTTCTGCCAACCCATTCAATAAGAAACGGTAGGATTACAAAGTGTAACTCAACATCACTAGCACTAGCTTGCTGACTCATTTTACAAGATGGTTTCTCCAGAGTGAGTTAATATATCTCTTGCATTTTCTGGTTAAAATTATGGTGCATTTTGAACTAAATCAATTATACATATAATATATGACCTTGATAGCTCAACTTAGAATCAAATTCATTATACAGGAGCCATATCTAATGTTGTAACTGCAGTTTCACATGGTAATGTTGAGCTGAGAATTGAAATATATGTACTAATGCACACATTTTCAACCATTGAAGATATAGTTTTCAAAATAAAATAAAAATGTGAACACTTCTCAAAAAAAAATTACAGAACCTTTTTCCCATCGACTGTAATAATACTGCCAGGTTCTGCGGCTGCAGAAAGATGAAATCCCCATAACCTCTGTTTGACTCCATCATATGTTATGAGCCTAGCTATAGTCTCTTGACCTTTGTAACAGCCTGAGAAAATCAAATTTGGACTAATTAGCTGGGCAAATCTTTGATACTTTGTGCAGATTGGTAGTGGAAAAGAGCACTTAGCACACCCTTGTTTAGAGAAATTGAGTTCCATAGATGGGCTTCCAGGACATTGAATTCTTTTGTAAGCTCCATTCCAGGAGCAGGTCTTCCTGTGAAGTCAAGTTACAATCAAAATCATAGTTAATGTTGTCCAGTTTCATTATATAAGACTTTCAACTTCAAAAACAAATATTATATGCTTAGTGATCTTTGTAGGGAGTATGAACATGGGCTAGTTCTACACTCCAGAATTGGCATTCTCACAAGCAGTACAAAACAATGTATAAATGAAAATGTATTCTTCTGGCACTGAAAACCTTCATGGGCTTAAAACATATCTTACACACACCAGAAAAATCATGCTGAACATAAAGTCATTAACATCGAGGCTAGAATTAATGTGATGTACTAATTCCCACTATTAGTAATAGCCAAATTTTTGAGGCAAAAAAAAAAAGTAAATATCTTTAAGAAAAATAAAAGGAAACAACTAGAAGATATAAGCATACAATTGCGACCTAATCGAAACAACTTTGTACCTTGAATAACCCTTAATTTATTCCAAGCATTAGAACCCATTGCAACAGCCCCTTGAGCAAGAATAGCTTTCCAGACAGATGGAGCAGCTGCTGGAGACATCATCAATGAAAAACCACCTTCAGAAATGATATTTCCAACACCTATAGTTATAGGCTGCTCGTCAACCTAAAATTGCAACATATATATTTGAGAAAATTTTCACAAGAGTATTAATAGATAATGTGGATCTTTAAAGCTTTTTACACAAAATGAAAAGAAATAAAAAGGGAGATGACAATACTTGGTATTGCTGTTGAAATTCTACTGCTTTGAAAGTTGTGTATATTTTAGTTTGATAGAGATAATTTACTACCTGATATAGTTAGAGTTATTGACAGCTGACATTCTAGATGCTTTAAATCAGTTAGAGTTAATTCTAGATGCTTCTAATCAGTTAAAAGTTAGTTTCTCTAACTATTACTATAAATAATAATTTGTACTCCATTATTCATTCAAGCAATATAATGAGATTTATCTCAGATTCTGTCTTCTTGATTCTGAAACTCTAACATGGTATGTTAGAGCTTATTTGTTGACCTCGAGCCTATTTCAATGGGGTTTAGTTCTCCGCTCAATACTAAGTGTTCGTTTAGTTCTCCCCTCAATACTAACTGTTCGTTTAGTTCTCCACTCAATACTAAGTGTTCGTTTAATTCTCCGCTCAATACTAAGTGTTTGTTTAGTTCTCCGCTCAACACTAATGGTTTGTTCCCTTCTTCACATGTGAAATTCTCATATCTTAGCTATGCTAAACTTGATGAAAAGAACTTCAAGCAATGGAAGAGCTTCAGGCGCCTCACACCAGAGGCCTCCAACCTAGTTGATTTTGTCTCCTTAGTCCTTGCATGAATATCATCAAGTCTTCATAGCTAATGGACAAGGTGTTTCCAAAAACAACTATCACAATATATTATCCATGTATTTCTTACTGAAGGGAAGTATCTATGAGATACAAATACAAGAAGCTTAAAAGCATGTATGACGGGATTGAGCGTGTAAGGAGCTTTTGTTAAAAATAAGAAAGGTTGAAGTATGCAGTCATTATCAAACATACATAATGATATATATCTTGTAGAGAGAAACTGATGATAAGCATGGCAACTAGTAATTACTCACAAGAAAATAACTAGTTTGGTGTCAAGCTTACATAAAAATGTTGATGAGTACCATATGTTTTTCCAACAAGATCGCCTAGGTTCAAGTTCTCCATCACCTGTTTGCGTCATTATAATGAAAATCAACAATTTTGTCATTCTCAAAACTAAGTAGGTATGATAATTTCTCTTACCTGGCCACTTTTGGGTCCCACCAAAACAAATAAGCTGGTTTGCTTAGTGATGTCTTGAATCTCTACCTTATCAGCAAAAAATATGTACCTTGAAATCATTTCATGTAAAAGAATCAGTTGATTTATTTGATAGTATACATCACGAATGACAACTATTTGTTCTTTATCTTATTTTCAGTTTAACCTCCGTCTGTGAATCCTTATAATACAATATACAAGTTACCTACTTGTTCAGCATTTCAGTAATGGTCCGACAAGTCTCTGGTGAAACCACTAAAGTTATTGCACTTTTCTGTCACAGCAACAAGAGAATGTGGTCAGCAAAATCAAAGTTACGGTATTATTATGTAGAGAAGACAAGTACAAATGAATTTTGAAAGAGGGGTGAAAAGAAAATTACCATGATCCACGCATGTGCGATATCTATAGTTCGAGCTGTTGGAGTTACAAAAACAGTGTCACATCCCTAGGGATTTCAGTTAGATATCCTATTACTTAATCCTGTATTATAGTATGAAATATAAAAATGAATTGAAAAGAACTTGAAATTGTAAATAAAACATAAATGCATTCAAATGATGCTACATTCTTTTACGTACTTGCCCTGCTTGTAGACTTTCAAAGTTTGCAGTGCTCTGGTTGTGAAGGAACTGAACACGGTCATCTCCACTCACTGTATTTCGAGTTACCCAAAATAGTTGTGTTAGAAATTAAGAAAACATTAAATCGTGTTAAGGACAAACACTCCCAACTGCTTACACCTACGGATTAAGAGTAATGCAAATTTGTAAAATTATATGTACATTAAAATATTATGGGACAGACTTCTTAGTGAATGCATTGTTCTAATGTGGAAAAGCAAGTACCTCTTATCCGGCCGAAGTGTGAAAGATCCACAACCTATACCATTAGATTCCATTGAGAACTAAATTAATAAAATGACTGAATCCATTATCTAACAACATGGTAATAAACATGCATTGAACTAAAAAAACTTCAACACTGTATTAAGTTTTATAAAACACAACAACACGTTACTACAAAAAAAAAATTGTAAAAACTATGAAACTACTGTGCGATAAACCGCAAGCCTGCACTAATATCATCCCAAGCTCATCAAAGCCATGTAAGCTAGTTGACTTCTTATAAAATTTCACAGTACAAAACAAGAGTTATAAAGAGAGCAAGATACAAGTATGAAGCATCTTTAAAACAATGAACTAATCCATTCAAGGAACAAAGAAGAACAAGTACAGAATACGGATACACATCGATTCTGATTTTTCAAAATGTTTCTTTCAAATGAAGGTGCTCATGCAAAGAGAATGAGAATAATATGTGTTTAGAATACATACAACAACTCCATTGTCTGCGGCATCCAGTGCTTCATCATCATTATGAAATGTTTCAATTATTCCTTCCCCAGAAACCTCAGCGCCTGCAGTTTTGACTGTATCCTGCAACGGTAAAGATAATAATTGAACAATCAAAAATTTATGCTTAGTCTCTTTAATTTCTTTTCTCTCAAGCAATATCATTTGGGTATTTTTAAAAACGTTTAACACATTTTTAAGAGTTAAATAACTATACAGTAAAAAGTGTCTTACAGAAACGTCCAGTCATATTTCAGTATCTATCATCAAATATATAATACCATTGATTCTTCTTAAAAGACAATAAATCAAAAAAAAAAAAAAATTCACATCATACATGTAACAGAACAAATGAATTCAAAATTCTAATTTACTTTATCTCCAATCAAGCAATCAGCAATTAAACAATTTCTACTTATTGATATGAATTTTCACTTCCTTACCAGTTACCATAAGCAAATAGTTGTGAAGTGTAAAATTACCAGGAAATCATGGTCGATGGGGGGAGGAGATAGGTCGAAAGCTGAAGATTGAGCAGAAATAGAGAAAGATGTTAGATTCTTCTTGTTGCTATGGTGAGAGTAGAATCGAATATTTGGGAGTGAAGAAGGTTTGAGCAATAGTGAAGATGGAGACCATGGTTGGTTTCGAAGGTTGATGCAAGATGGCAATGACAGCGTTGACATCTGAGAGTAGGTTATTGATAATAACAGAGACAGATGCGCGTTTCGGAAGAAGAAATCATGAATGTAAATAGAGTTTTGTTACTTAAACAAAATAAGTTCACTAGAATAGAATAGAGAAGATAAAGGTTATCATACAATAATAACATAACATTTATTACTATAGCTTGCCCTAATTTTCTATTTTGAATTTTAATTGAATTATATTTAAAGTAGAGAAAATAAGATATGTACTAAAAAAATATAAAATAATTTTATATTATTAACTAATTATTCTTTTGTATTCCAACATATTATATTATAATAATAGATTTCTGAATTTCTAATAAATAATAATGTAAAATTATTTTATAATGTAAGTGTTTCAAAGAATTTAATTAAATGCATAAGAATTTTATATTGTCATTTGATGTTAAGAAAAGTTTTATATTTTTATTTTGATCACATAATACGATTTGATGTTGCATAGTAATTAATTTCTGATTTAAATATAAAAAATTAATATCATATATATATATATATATATATATATATATATATATATATATATATATATATATATATATATATATATATATATATATATATATATATATATATATATATATATATATATATATAAAACATATTTTGTGCACTTAATCCTAATTTCCTTACCCCTCTTTTGTCATTAGTAACCAAAGATATTCTATAACTTGATAAGAATGGCACGTGTGAGGGCAACCGCATCATCGCCAATATGTCCTTAAACGTAATCTGCAAAATATTTTGACAGATCGAAATACATCAAAGGCATGGTCATCCCTGACCTGTTCATTTTCCAAGATCTCCTCATGAGTAGGCCTAGGTGGACGTTCAGGTGTGTCTAGTGTCATGACAGAGTGTGAGACACTATAAAACCAAGTCATGTAATCGTCCACATAAGATGATTGAATTGTGGCTGACATACTTTGTTACTTCTCTAGTATCAGATGACTTTTGTAATTCATCAGTATGTCATAAAGATGTCTGCAAACGATGTTGTTAGGAGCAGACTTGATGGGGGATCTCAGAATAATTTGCACATATCCAAACTGACGCATGCATTGCTCTGGCAGATATGTGCACTTCATATTCCTCTTAGATGTCAGTATTCCAGAGGAAAATGAAATGGGGTCAAAGGCAACAATGTCCCGGTGAGTGGTGTATGGTGTTCAGTCGATGTCATCATGTTGAGTCCGGCCAATATACACACGGAACGGTCACATAGCATCATTCCCTCGTGCGAGAAATACATGCAAGAACGTGGTCAATCCTTAGTATAGTCTACAACACGGTGAAGCCCGTGTATGCGGTGAAAGTTGGATAAAATCCATCCCTGAAAATTAGCAGAAAAAATTATTAGTAACAAGTGTAAAAAAGTGTTTTTAAAATTAGTAAAGGCTATGGAAATTACCATCAGTAGGGTGCAGGAGCTTGTCACTTGCCTTGTCGTCCAAAGAGAACCTTTGTTCAGCTTGGAGTATAGGTATATCAAACACGCGGCCCCCAGTTTCACTCGTGAATGACCGACAACCCGATGAAGTATTTAAGGTTTGCCACATCGACGTAGGTTGCACTTTTATCCACAAACGTGAACGTGTCAATGACGAATAAAAGGAAACGCCTTAAAGCACACTCCCGGTGATAGGTAACATGTAGATCATTGCTGACGACATCATCAACCAACTCCAAGTTTTCTTTATAAAGCTTCTTCAAGTATGAAAATTCAGCATGAGCACCTCTTGTGCTTTCACACTACGTCAGGGCATCCATTTGGGTCAGCTCTCTAATAAATGACCATCATCTTATGAGTTTCATCATGTTTGATCCTATAATGATCAATTAACTTCCCCCTGATGGGAAAGTGTAGAAGGCAAGCGACATCATCTAGTGTAATTGTCATCTCGCCAATGTGGAAGTGGAAATATGCATTTCTTTATGTCATATCTCAGCAAAAGCCATCTGCATGTCGTGACCAGCAAGACCAGAGTATCAGACGAAACTTTAAAACCAATCATCCTCAGGCTGATAAAGTTGTAAAATCATTTTGTTGTGGTTAACAGGCTTCAAACATTTGTGCTTATGTTAAAAAAAATAACAATATTAATTGTAGGAAATTTATTTAAAAGATATAAATAACAACTATTAACAAATATACCTCCCAGATCCAGACATGCCTAACAACATGATCTTTATAGTATATCAGTAAGGAGGTGTCAGAGGACCCTCATGGATAAGGCTTTACATGTGCAATCATGTTCATCAGGAGCTTCCTCCCAGTCTTCGTGATCAAGGGAGACGTGCCCCTAGGATGAGGACCCCTGTGACATGCGGCTCCTAGAAGTCGATGATTCCCTGTCAAAGGTCTATGAACGGTTCTCCACTTAACCCTGGCCTGCTCATTTTGAAGTATAACCCTTTCACGTCGAATGGATGTGTGTTAGGTTTCACGACATAGTCTCAATCTGTCAATGTTGTTCGCAACCATTTTTCCTAAGAAAACGAGAACATGACATATCATAACATTTTCGGATATGCATCTCTAAAAACCAATAAGGACACAATTTGGAGATGCATATCTGAATAAGCTCGTGTTTCTCAACAATGGCAGAAACGCAAACCAGTATTGTCTTAACAACCAAAAATGCAACCAACTAAAAGTACATATCTCTAACAACTACCTATTTCAAATGTGACTATTACCTAATGCAATAATCAAAACTCTAAAAAAGTTAAATGAGAAATTTACACAAAAAAGTGTTGATGAGATGAAAAATGTTGAATATAGTAAGTGGAGTGAGTTGAGATTGGAAAGCTTGAAGTAGAGTTAGTGTTGATCCTTGAAAATGGGTTGGAAGAATGTTGCTCACGAGCATCAATGGGGTATCTCAAAAGTTTCAAAAAATGAAGAAGGGGAAGAGGAAGGGGGAGGGTCTGCCGCGCATTGTATATTATGTAAACGCGTTTTAAGATGCATCTTTGAAGAATCCCTTGAATTTTTGAAAATAAAGGTTAATCCGAAAATGCATCAGCGGACAAATTCTAAAACACATACAGAGATGTATCTCCGAATTTTATTTGACAAAGTGAGAGACATTCACTCATTTGCGTTTGTAGAAAAACGGATATGCACCTCCAAAAGCAGAATATATTTTAGACTTTTCGTCCAGAGTTTGAAAGAATCTTTAGAAATGGAAAAAGAAATTCCCTAATTTAATAACAATTTGATAACACTGTAGAGAACCTATACCTTTGGCCCTTATATGTGATAGGTATTTTTAATGGAAATTGCTAATCATTATTGATGGAAAAGTACGTATAAAAATTCAAAAATGTTTTTCTTATCAAAACATGTTTTAAGTGAATATACATTTGAATATACCTTTGCCTCATATTTTTTCTAAAATTTAATTTGAATATACCTTTTCGGATTCACTTTATACTCATTTACCTTAACTTCATGTGTAAATAAATCATACCTTCCATATATGGAAAAAGAATAGTTTAAAAATATACTTCTGAAATAAATCCAAAAGTATATCGCTTAAAACTATTAATTATGTCATTTAATTCTAATTGATTTCACTCCCAATATTTTAATTTGATTGATTTTCATTTGATTTCGTCATAATGATTACTGATGCAACGCCAACATTCGTTTAACTTCGTTGTAGACTATTCCGTTGGTGATTCAGTTTATATTTAGCTTCTATTCCGTTGGTGATTCAGTTTATATTTAGCTTCGTTGTAGATTATCTCATTGGTGATTTCGTTTATGCGGATGATTCAGTTTATGTTTAACTTACTATCTCGTTGGTGATTTTGTTTATGCTCAATTATTAGGTTTGAAGATATGGATTTAACGTCTTTTTTTTTATCTTTCAATTATTAGGTTTGAATTGTTTTTTTTATATATATTTGTTTTTTATTAATTTTAAAATTCAAAACATAGACAAAAATAAATTTTTATAAAAATATTATATTTTAAAAATAATTTTTAGGAAAAACTATTTTAAAATAGCTTTAAAATTAAATAATTTTTTAAAAATTTAATATCCAAAGTTTCAACAAAATAATAAAAATATCCAAAATAATATTTTAAAAATAAATATTCAAACCAAATTTTCATTTTAAATTTATAAAAAGCTTATTTGTAACTTTTTTTACATAAAAATATGTTACTGTAAAAATCATTTTTAAAAAACAATCAAACCTTTAGTAACAAATGTCAAGGTATTTATTATGTATATGTACTTTAACTTTTCTCTACATGTTTATATTTATGCTCAATTTTATAATATGATTCCTTATAAATTTCATTAATGTGTTGTAATTTGCTTTTACTCTACTTCTTATTCATTGAAATGTTGATTTAGAAAATGAGCTTTATGCGATGCTTATCTACTTTTTATTCATTGGAATGTTGATTCAAAATATGAGCTTTATGTGAGGTTTAAAGGTACGTGTATGACATTTTTGCTGTAATACATTTTCCGTGTTAAGATGCATCGAAAATGCATTTTTGAAATCTAAGAATAATTTTGATTTTTCACGAGAATAAGAAATCAATTCATAGGTTGCATTAAGCAAATCCCTTATCAATTTAGGAGACATTTGGATAATCAACTCAGTCACATGCATGTCTATGTACAATTCATTTCTACAACCAAAGGGTAAAAGAGGAAAAACTCTGCATGAGCTCCATATAATTTTAGGCAGCTTATGAAAATAACAGCGATATCAGCAGCTGAGGTGGGTAATACAAACCTAAAAAGCATTGCATGTAGTGTCTATGTTGGAATGTTTATATACAATAATTTGAACATCCATCAAGCATAACAGCTATATATATCTACACCTATGCCTTAATTAAGGAAAATAAATTGCTCTATGACTCTACCAGGGTTTTGATGCTAACGTGCTACAAATTTGTAGGCCAAGTCCAGCCCATATTAAATTGAAACCAAATTGTCAAATCCAGCTCCTTTAATGGACGAAAGTCGCCCAGATTCAGCCACACGTGCAAACTTGTCGCAATATTTACGAAACTGCAACAATCCATACATAAAAATTGTTATTTCTCATTCACTATCACAGTAAAGAATGCAATAATCATCACTCGAAATTGACAATCAACATTTACATGGCAGTGCACCAGGAGAACAAGGATTCGATCACATTTGACATGACAAACACTAACAACAAGGTAAATTGATGTGAAAGTTGCAACCTGCAACTGACATAGGCTTCAAAAAGAAGATAAAATATCACATACCGCTTCGACAACCTCACTTCTGCAACTATCCAACTCATCCACTTTAGCTGCTGCAGATTCTTTTACAGAAGTAATTTCACTCTTTACGTCATCCACCTGTCAATTGTGGACAAAAAGTAACCATTAATTTGTTCATCGCACTTCCCTGCTTTATTATTATGAAAGAAAACGCAAGCAAGTGCCTATGGAATACTAGTTATGATTTCAAAAATATTAAGTATTCAGATGATAAGTAATGTTTTCTTTAGTTATGGATATACTTAAAAGTGTTTGTACTTTTCAGAGTTTTTCTATTCCACTTAATAAAAGATACCTTTGATAACACATTCTCAATATTTCTCTCTCTAGTTTCAATCTCAGATCTCTTTGATTCCACCTCTGATTTTTTACTGCTTAGGTATTTAGTTCCTTCCTCCATCACAGTATTGTAATTTTGCTCCAACTGCTTTTTCAACCCTTCAGTATGCTCAGCTAAGGAGAGGGACAAACAAGCATAATAAGATGAAGGAAAAATAATACTAAATTACTAATACAATGTTTAAAGAGCAATGCTATATAGCATTAAAGTATTTTCATAGAAATCATTACAAAATAACATAGCATATGTGCCGCTTAAGGGTCAACAAATGAATCTTCTTTTAGAGAAGATAATAATAATAACAATAATTTGATAAAAAAATCATGCCACTACCAGGTAATTTGTGAACAGGTTTTGTAGAATATTTTCATAAAAATACCATTACTGCTTACATAGTTACACCACCAATTTGGAAATGGAGTACCAGCATTTGCTTGCTTGCACAAAAGCGTACCTTTGCTTTGCCTTTCAACCAATTGGGCCTCAAGTGACTTCTCCAGTACTTCTTCATCACCAAATTTAGCTTTTAATGCTTTAAGATTCTTTTCAACAGATTTAGCAGAATTGACCTATAGAAGAAAGTGCTAAAAAATCAAACAAGACGTTTTGCACAATAACTATCTTTGAAGGAAGAAAAACCCCAAAGATCATAATATGTCTCGTATCGTTAACAGCATTCCCATCATGAACTCCATTCAAATACAAAAAGAAAGACAAAATTGTTCCTCAATAGACAACGAAAAATTCATAACAAAAATTTCAATCATCATGCTAAATGACAGAGCAGGAGTCAAATAACCAGAGGACAGGGGTGTACCTGTTCTTCTATAGCCAGAATCTGCTTGCAGTGCTTCGACATTTTCTTGTTAACCTGAAAAGGATTTCATAAAGTGATTTATATAATCAAGGACAAAACATTATATTATGAATAGAAGTCATAAGCCCATGAGATACTGTTTGTTTTTTGTAGTTTGCTTTCTGGAATGAGCAAATGTCCATAAGGTCAGTTCCCAGAATTGATTAACCAATATTTGTTAAAATGAATGACAACATCTATGAGATCATTTTTATAAAAACAGATTAAGAACTCCCATGAGCCCTTTATGTTGATTGATGTTTATGCTTTAAGCCCCATTACACTGTTTACCAGGGAAAATTCAACTTGCATAAGCAAAACAAACTGTTTCACAAATGGCCCCACAAAAATACAATCCAATAGGTTGAGGTCGCAAATTGCAATTGCATCTTAAAGTAAATCTCAATTGGGAAAGAAATTCACTAGTCCAATGAATTGTATTGATAAGTATATTATGTTCCCCACGACCCAAAATGCAGATGAGAAGCAGTTTAATTTATGTAATACTTGTTTCAACATACACTTATATTTAACATGAATTATTACACAATTTCTTGTTTTTTAATATGAAGCACTAAGTACTTCACTATCAACAATCCTGTAAAAACAAATCATCATATTTATATCAGGTACAATTAGAAATCAAAGATAAATCAAACCTTGGAAGGAGGGAGTACAATCTTGTGACAACATACCTTGGAGAAAACATTGATAAGGGTATTCTTCTCATGGAAAGTGTGCATGGCTAATCTTTCAGCATTTCTGGCCTCTTCTCGAGCTATTTTCTTTTCCTCTAAAGCCCTCTTCATGCAAGATAATGAAAACAAATTTAAATAGGTAGACTCAGAAAAACAAAATCCTAGATCACTCTACACGGCAAGAACATATAAAATAAGCATGCAGTTTTTGTTCATCTTACAGTGCTAAACATTTCATGGTTCAAATAAATTTTAGTATCCCTCTACTTTCAGCTTACTTTCTAACTTAATGGAGATAATCAAATGAAAATGATACCTGTACTTTATCCGGTGATTGAGCAATTTTCGAACGTAAATTTGCATTCTCTTGAACACTTTGTACCAGACTAAATTGAGCACCAGAAATCTAGGGCGACAAAAGGAAAATAGAAGTCAGGATTGTCGGCAATTCACTTAAACTTCTATATCTGTAGCAGCTCAACTGTTCAATGTTCTAATCCCACATGAATTGTTCACATAAACTTTCCAAGCTTCTAATGAAGTTTCTTCCATATACTATTCAAAAACCCAACATCAAGAAGTAGTATATGCTAAGACAATAAGCTAACCTTATCATCCATTTCCACAATCTTCTCCTTCAATTTCTTCAAATTAGTCCTCAATGACATCTGCTTGTTATTCATGTCTGAAACCGTTTGTCGCAACTCTCTAACGTTTTTATCCACCTCCTGAACTAAAGGCATCTCCCTTTCTCGTGCTTGCTTGCACTCATCAATCGCCAAATTCAACTATAACAACCAAACCAAATGAAAAGCAATCAATGAAACACCAATATCAACACACACATTAAAAAACAAAATAGAAAACATTCACTATTATAAACCTGCGCAATGTTATTCTCTTCAATATCCACTATCTTCTGTTCTAAAGTGCTGACTTCATCTACAATTTCCGATATCGAATTCATTCTTACATCCCTGATGTCAAAAAATTTACAATTAGGTCATGTTTTAGGGTTTGTCTTTATCTTGTAATTGAAGAAATGGGAGTAACCTGTCGACTAAGAAATTGAGAAAAGCCCCGAGGAAATACTCCGTCCGAGAAGGCTCGGGTAGGGCAAGATCGCCCAAGTGAAATTTCTTGGGACATTGGAGAATGAGAAGCACTTCCTTGATTTTGTTGAATAGCTTCAAAACACGAACCGATCCAAGGTGAAGATCGGGATCATCGAGATGCTGTAGGACATCGAAGTCAAGATGTTCTTCATTTTCCCTGTGAGAAATGAAAGAGAGAAACAGTAAAAAGAAGAGAATTGAAGTAAAGCGGAGAATTGAAAATAGTGTAATGAGAAGGTTTGAAGAGAGAAGAAGCGATACTCGAGGAGAAAACCAAGGTGGTTGAGTGTGCGAGTATAGATATCCAAAACGACGACGGATTTGGGATTGGTAATGTCATTCTCCGATATGGATGCAATACCAAATTGGGCTAGGATTTGAATGATTTCTGAGCGCCTCAGCGTCGGGTACTCGTAGTTCGACGGCGCGGCCGCCATGTTCGTTAACAGTGTCGCACAAAACCCTAATCGGATGAAGAATGGGGAAGAGGCGTGTGAACAGTGACGGTAACGAAAACTAAAAAAGACATTTTCTGAATGTAAATTGTGTTTCTAATATTTGAATTTGAATGGCATGATTAAACTAACTTAGTAACTATTGTGTCAATCTTCAATTTCATAAAGTAGTTTGGGAAATCATAAGTTTTCAAACATCTCAATTGTCATTAATTTCAAATCTATCCATAGAAGTATTACTCAAATATTCTTTACATACACCTCAACTTCCTAATTAAGATTGAGACATGCTAATGGTCTTTCTAATTTACCCTTTTTTTATTAATAACTTTACGTTTAGAGTTTGCCCTTATTCATAATTTACTAAATCAAAATTCAACCACCAATCAGAATTTATGTTTTGTACATATGGCAAGATTTTTTTCAAATGAAGTTACTTTCTCATTCCCCTCTTCATAAGTTGTTATAAGCTGTACCATACTGAAATTTGTTCATTCTATTTTGCCTTCTCATTTTTCCTCACTCTTCCTTATTTCATAACAACTTTCGAGAATACAACCACTCTTGGTTTCTCATTTCTTCAGTCTTCCTCATTTCTTCACTCTTCGAGGATTCATCAACTACGGTATATTTACGTTGTTTTCCTACATTTTAATGTTCAAGTTCAGACATCGTTGTGAGTAACTCGTCTCCATGTTTTTGTGGATTATGTGTAGAAAATCTAAACTTATAATGCTAAAGTTTAGATTTTTTTGATATCCAGTTGTTCACAACGTTGAAATGAAATGTGGAAGAGAAAATGTGATTGAAAAACTTAAGTTTGATGTGTTTTGATTACGGAGTTTATTTTTCATGTTCATGCTAGTTTTAAAAAGTTACTCTTTTAGTTCGACTTCATGCATGGTTGTGATTTATTGGCGTTTCTGTTTCGTCGTAATCGTCCTTTCGTGAGTTAATGATGCGATATTATTATTTTGAACCTTATTTCAAATCTGGAAAATAGAACATGATACTCATATTGTTTGCTTTCAGTTCATTTTATTAACTGATTTTATTTTCAAGTTCAACTTTATAACAGTTGCATACTTTTTAGTGTTTCTCTTCTTTAGTGAGTTCATAACAGTTACAAACTTGGACTACTCATGTTAAAAGTAAGATTTTAATGTATGCTTTTTTCATTGAGTTCTGTGAAGTATCATGTCAAGACCACCCATTTTAATAAAAGACTTGAAGCCTGAACATAACGTGTGGAAACTGGTTGTTCGTGTCGTTGATATATGGTGCGTTAAAGAGCGTAACGGTCAGCAACATCTTGAAGCTATAATACAGGATGCAAAGGTGTTGGTTTTGCCTTTATTTTTTTGAGTAATTAATGTTTCGACTTTATATTTTGTTTATTCGTTGCGTTAATGTGTTTTTAATAAAAAAAACAAGGTGACTAGATTCATGTAGTAACCCGGTCGCGCGAATTTGAAATGTGGGAGAACGCGATATAGGAAGACAATACATAGTTGGTTTATAACGGTGAACCTTTGACCAATGACCTACCATTGAAAGTCTGTGACAGCGACTACAAGCTGTTTTAGAATCATGCCATAACTGTTACTGCAACAGATATCCCATACATTCCAATGCACACATTCAATTTTAAATGCTTTAAGGATTTTCTAAATGGTGATTTTGTCGTTGATCGTTTATATGGTAATTTTGTTTCTTCGTTCTCTCCATGATTCCGTGTTATTCTAAAAAACTATATTAACTTTCAAATCATCTATAAGCAGACGTGATTGATGTTGTTTAGCAAGTTGTTAGGACTCAAAAACTAGGAGCTGGAAAAAAGGCTTGCGTAAACTTAATTGTATCAAATGAAAGGTTTAATACACTACATTTTTCGATCAATATTCCCTCCTATATGTGCCTTATCAATATATGACATATTAATGAATTATAATGGTGTCTTCGTAGTGGAACTGAAATGGATGTTACTCTGTGGGAGTCATATGCCACATAATTTATGTCGTACAATGTGGACAATGGAGAGCTGGTCCTCATACTAACACATGTTTGGTGTCACCAAAGCTCATGTATTGATTAAAATTCTAACTTTTCACTTTATAGGTACAAGATTGAAATTGAGGTTGAACATGACGATGTGATTGCTAATTTTGTTTTCTGGGACAAGGAATGTATACCAATTGTTAATATGTCGGCTCATGCTTTAAGACAAGTCATGAAGCAGGTTTGTATTTATTATTCTATAAATTGTAATCAATTTTTTTCTGTTTATAAATAACAGGAAATCTACTTTTCAATTCCCAGTCATAACTGTTACTTCTTGCACTGCGAAACCATGGGTTGGAGATGATGATAGTGACGGAAGCTTGCAGACGGAAGGGTTTTCTAGCTGTGACAGGAAGAAAAAAATGGGGTTCAACAGAGAAGATGATGGTGATGGTATGAAGAGGAGAAGCTCGCGGCGGCGGCTGGGTGTAAAGAAGGGATGGTGGCTGAATTTAGGGTTTGGCAGCTGTGTGTGTTTTGGGAATTTAGGGTTTTTCCCCTCATCCGTGATGATGAACAGTGAATGACCCTTATTTATCCTAAATTTCAAAACCCTAAAATCAATTGCAACCGTGTTTCTCATCTGTGTTATGCTTTTTTCAATTTTTTATTATTTTTAATTATTCTATTTTCACTTAATACTAATTTTATTACTAAACAATATTATAACTAATTCAATTCTAACTTAATTTTCTAACTTAAATTTTAATCTAAATTTTTAATCTAGTTTAAATTCTTAATTTTTAATTAAAATTTTAATTAACTCTAATTTTAATTTCTAAATAAAATTTTAACTAATTAATTAATAAATAAAAAATAAAATCTTATTATTATATTACATTAACATTTTCTTAAAATAAAAATTATAAAGCAAAAATAAAAAAAGCCACGTGTCATGCTCTTATTGGGCTAAAATAAAAAGAAGTTCGAAAATTCGCCATTTATTAAATAAATATGCTAAAAAATAAAATGCAAGCCCGAAAAGTTCACATTAATTACTCTGATGTTTTTTTTTGAAAATATAGAAATAAACTCGGGGAAAAATAAACAGAAATGGGCAAGTGAGATGCTTAAAAGATTAAAATCGAATGCACACAAAAGATTAACGTGAAATGGATAACTTGAAAAGATATAGCACTCAGTCAATTTTGAGAATCGACCGGGACCGGTAAAAAGGCTCACATTGGTCAATGGTGATTAAAAGTTAGTCGAGAGATGAGATGAGTGCGCTAAGTCAGGTTTTAAAGGAAAGTAAGTCAAAAACTAGTGCCTGCAAGCTTAAATTTGAAAACTTTTAATCGTTGATTTTTTCTCGCATATTTGAGGCACAATTTAGTCAGTCTGTCCGCACATCCAAGAAATTGGTTTTGGCTAATCCTTTTGTGAATTATCCACGGTAAAATGCACGCTATACTATGCAGGATTTCACACCACACCGCACACATACTTGTCTTGATAACCTGGCCCGATCCATGATTCAATCCTGGGTATATCCTGAGCTTAGACAACACGGAACAAAAGGCACAAATCTACATGCACAATGACAGATGATATGAATAATGCATAAATGATGAAAATGCAATGATATGTACAACTGGCAATTCAGGGTCAAAATTAGGGTGTAACAAAGGGAAAATTTGTTGTGAAAGATGGTAAGTTTCACAAGAAAAAGGGTAAAAGTCAGCAGAGGTCTTATAGTGGCGAGACATCTGGTACTCGATGTTATCACTGTAAAAAGAAAGGTCACACAAGAAAAGTTTGTCCTGAACGCCTGAAAGATCATGGAGATAAGGATAATGGCAACACAACCATTGTTCAAGACGACTTTGACTCATCTGATGTTCTTGTGGTTTCAAGCAGCGACTCAAGAAAATAGTGGACTATGGATTCAGGTTGCACTTGCCACATGACTCCAAACAGAGAATTGTTCGAGGAGCTATGTGATCAAGATAGTGGATCAGTGCTGCTGGAAAACAACAAAGTTTGCAAAATTGTAGGTATTGAATTTGTGAGATTCAAGCTTCATGATGAGTCTACAAGGTTATTGACTGAAGTCAGGTATGTACCTGATTTGAAGAGAAATTTGATTTCTCTTGGTTAATTCGACAATAAGGGATATGTTTTTTCAAGGAGAGAAAAAGTATCCTAAGAGTCATGAAGGGGTCGAATGAAGTCTTGAGAGGCGTGAAGAAATAAGGCTTGTATACCGTTGAGGCTGAAGTTGTAAGTGGTTCGAAAAATGTTGCATCCACGAAACTTTTGTCGAAAACAAAAATTTGGCACATGAGATTGGGCCATATCAGTGAAAGGGGTCTGGTCGAATTGGGGAAACAAAATCTTCTTGGAGGAGACAAAGTCGAAAAGCTGAAATTTTGTGAACCATGTGTAATTGGAAAAGATTGCAGAGTGAAGTTCAAAAAAGGCAAACAAAGAACTCATGCATCCCTTGATTACATCTGTGCTGATCTTTGGGGGCCTGTGAGGCGTCCATCACATTCATGAGCAATGTATTTTCTATCCATAGTCGATGATTATTCCAGAAAATTATGGGTATTCACCCAGAAGACTAAGGAAGAAACTTTTGAGAATTTCAAAGGTTGGAAGACTTTGGTCTAAAATCAAACTGGAAGAAAGGTCAAGAGGTTGAGAATCGACAATGGCCTTGAATTTTGCAATGAGGCGTTCGACAGTTTTTGTGTTGTCTCAGGTATTGCAAGGCACAAAACTACTGCAGGTACTCCATAACAAAATGGTTTAGCGGAAAGGTTCAATCGAACTATTTTGGAAAGAGTTAGATGCATGTTGACTAGTGTTGGGTTAAAAAAAGTGTTTTGGGCTGAGGCTGTTTCGACAGCAACATATCTGATAAACAGATGTCCTTCGATTGCTTTAGATATGAAGACACTTGAAGAAGTTTGGTC